AAGCAAATGCAAAAGCATCCCTATGACTCCAAGGGTGACACACACACACACACCTCACGTACACACAGAGACCCTCACGCCTTATATCTGTTTCGCCTGTCTTCCCCATGCTCACTCTTCCGCACTTTACCCCTGCAGCCTCAATCTTTCGAAGTTGTTCACATGTGGGGTTATCCGGTCCTATAATGTTTTGATGGTGTCCCGGTCATGTTGTGATGGTGTCCCGGTCATGTTTTGATGGTGTCCCGGTCGTGTTGTGACGGTGTCCCGGTCATGTTTTGATGGTGTCCCGGTCCTGTTGCGATGGTGTCCTGGTCATGTTTTGGCGGTGTGCCGGTTATGTTTTGATGGTGTCCGGGTCATGTGACGGTGTCCCGGTCATGTTGTGATGGTGTCCTGGTCATCTTGTGATGGTTTTCCCGTTATGTCATGTTGGTGTCCCGGTCACCTTGTGATGGTGTCCCGGTCATGTTGTGATTGTGTCCCGGTCATGTTGTGACGGTGTCCCAGTCATGTGGTGATGGTGTCTCGCTCATGTTGTGACGGTGTCCAGGTCATGTTTTGATGGTGTCCCGGTCACCTTGTGATGGTGTCCCGGTTATGTTGTGATGGTGTCACAATCGTGTTGTGACGGTGTCTCGGTCATGTTTTGATGGTGCCCTGGTCATTTTGTGATGGTGTCCCGGTTATGTGATGATGGTGTCCAAGGAAGAGATGGTCGATGTGTTGAAAACAGCAGCTGTTTCCAGATTGTTCTTTTTGTCCCGGTTTGTATCTTGCTATTGGGGTCTCCAGCTGGGCTAATTAATACAATCATTGATTCCCATCATATATACATATATATATACATATGTATACTATACATTGATTCATCACCTGCGGATCCGCCAGGGGGGGAAGATCTGGGTGGATCCCCGCAAGGGTGGGGGTGAATTAGACAATTAGAACTATAAATAGATAATTAGAATTTACTTTGCTAAGTACATGTGGCTGCTTGAAAGGGGTGGTCGCGATTTTTTTGGGAGGCGACCCCCCCGTCTCCATCAAAACATATACTTAAATACATTTGTTTAAAATAACTCTTTACAGTAGACGCAAAAAGGTTTTGATTCTCTTAAATATTTTTGACATTTGTCCAAAACAGCTGAACATGCGAGTTTTTGAAACCGTGGAAAAACTGAGGCCTCCACAGTGTCTTTTTTTTGTTTTGTTTTGTTGTGCTGACCGCCCGGCCTTGCCCGCACCGTCGCCCCTCTGCCCGGCCTCTCCCGCCCCGCCCCGCCGCCCCTCCACACACACAGAAAGCAACAACAACAACAACAACTTCTTCTTCTTCTTCACCGCGCGCTCAAGAGTGAGTAGGGCCACCCTTCAGTCAGCAGTGTGACTGGACTCGTGAGAGTCCTAGCGCAGCTGTTCATGGCATGTCGCCAATTCATCAACTCAAAACCATTCAAAACCTCACCTGAACCTCATCTGAGTGCAGGATGGAAAAGTTGCGTCCTCCCTCAGTTCAGCGCCCGCTAGCACTAGCCGCGCTGCAGCTCCGTGTCTGCAGCCATCAGCAACAGAGCGCCGGGCCTGGGGAGGCCAGCAGAGGTCTGGTGTGCAGCCGGAGGGTCAGAGGCCAGTGCGATCAACGGGGTCTTGTGCATCAGGCGAGTCACTTGCAGCCCGACAATGCCCAAGTGAACAACTCCAGCTACAATGTCATGATCATCCCAACGCAGGATCATTCACAAAGGTCGGAACTGGAAAGCAGCCCTCGAAGCACAAGTGGTTGAAGTGACCTAGCAACTTGGCACAATCAATCAGCCTGTCAGCGAAAAACATTTGGGACCGTTGCGTTCCTGAAATGCCGTGATCATGGCGTGACATCGAAGCCAAGGACTCACGAGATCACTCAAATGCAGCTCATAAAGGTGCACTAAAGCAACCGGTTGATTGCTGGCCTCCCGTGCTATCTGGCGACGTATAGGCCCTTGATGTCTTCTCCTTCACTCCTGCATTCAAGAGTTCTTCGGAAGCATTGTCGTGACGTGTGAGGTAGGGGTCATTGCTCTCGTCTGCCTTCTGGATGGTCTGAAGAATAGCCCGATCGAAGAGTTGGAATTTCTCCTCTTCAGCGAGCTGCCCCCATTGGCCTCCCAGGCCTCCACCAAATACGCCCTGCAAATCCAAAATTGTGGAGGTCGTGTCCCTAAGTGTCATACAAGCGGACTCCCAGCCACCACCACCACCACGACGACAACAACAAGAACGAGAACAAGTGATATCACACGTCTGCGGCTCAGCCACACGGACGCAGGCGCAGCGCTTTAGAGTGGTCAGGGGGGGTCCAATGTACGCATCGGGGGCGGATGATCACCCGCGTTCTGTGTTGCAAGCTGCGTGGCAGGTGCAGCGCATAGCGTCCGGCGTGAGAAGCGCACTTCTCCATTGGTCTCAAGCATTCGCAAATCTGTACTTGATCTGAGGTTCCCTCAGAGTGACAGAACCCAACTCAGCACAGGGCACGACACAGACCGACACAGACACAGACGTCCACACATATACCAAACACACACAAACACACGGAAGCGCGCAACAGCGCAGTGCCAACACTCTCGCACTGACACACCCACAACTTACAACACACACACATACATACTCACATACCCTTTGTCTTCTCTCCCGACTTGCAACCTGCTCCTTTTCCTGCCACCGTTGCTCTTCAGCAGATGGTAACATGTGGTGAAATCCCGTGCTTTAATGAAAGACAACACGAAGAAAACATTTTCTGATCTGAGTCCCAACCCAGACTGTTCGTTAACGAACTGATCACTCAATTTTTTGACCCCCTTGAATTTGTACATGTTTAGGAGGATCCAACGTAGTTATATATATATACACACACATATTCAACAATTCCTCAATTTGCAATGTGTTTTTCTATCTCTTATACCGAGCATTCAAATCATCATACCAGCCCAATTGCCCACTTCATGATGCACTTGCACCATGTCCGTGAAAGGCATGACAAACGATTGATTTCCACCGTTGGGGTACTTTCTTACTGCAAGCGCACCACTTCATGCCCTATACCCTGCGCTCCCAGATCATCTACAGTACCCTCCGGACGCAGATCACGATGCCGGATATTCAATCCATCGCAAACGATAAAGACCTCAGCTAGAGCTATTGTGCTGCAACTCAAACATGTCCTCAGCACCATTAATTAGTGCGTGCAATTTTATATAGATTTGTTTCCACTGTTATCCTAAAGTAATCTACAGTTCAGGTTTTTGAGGTTGAATGGGATGCTTTCGAGTAGTGTGCCACAGATGCTTTTTTTGGGCCGGCTTAGCTTGGACAATCAATTTTAGAGTGCAGTTTCTTTAATCAGAACATTCTTGTCCACCCCTACTCCTATGCGAAGCCTGTTTCTAAACTTGTGAGCCTCCTGGACTCATTTCTGGTTGCCTCTCCCTGACTGGTTGCCTGGATGATTGTCAGGCCCTTTAGTTGGTTTCATGGCCTGCCTATCTCTGTATTGAGGCTCTTGCCACCTTTGCACAAACTTTTACAACACGTTCCTGTGCTTTCGCAACTGCGTACAGAAGGTAGCATGACAAGAAAAGGAGCGTGTGTCAGTGTCACTGGCTTACACCGGCTTACACCACTCATTGGGAAGTAGGAGAGTCGAAGTGGCGCTTTATGCGATGCCCTTTAGGAGTCAGGGCATTTGATGGGGGTAGTCGGAAGTCGACAATCATCGTTTCTTACAGGGAGGGTACTTCGAGGACGCAGTTAGCTCACGAAGGACAAATCAAACAAGCAGGTAGGCAAGTCAGCAAGCAAGGAAGGAGGGAGGGACGGATGGACGGACGGACAGACGGAAGGAAGGAAGGAAGAGCAGCCCAAAGGTAAAGTTTAGAGCAGGAGGGTTGTGGGCCACCTGAGGGTAAAAGCTCAGAGCGGAAGGAGCCATTGCAACTTTGCATAGCTTTTGTAGACTCCCTTCGGTGAGCAAAATCTGGAACCATTCCAACGTAGCGCGCCTGTGGGCCACACACCTTTTGTATGCCACCTGAGGGTAAATACCATTCAGAGCAGGCTGAGCAGGGAGAAACAATTCTAACTTGGAACGTACGTTTTGTGGGCCGCCCAAGGGAAAGTTAAGAGCAGGAAGAAATCATTCAGCTCTGCTATTTGTAGGCAACACGAGGGTAAAGTTTTGAATTGGGACAGGCCATTCCAACTTAGGGCCACCTGAGGGCCCGAGGGCAAAGTGTAGAGGATGTAGAGGGAACTTTTTGCCTCGTCTTCAACGACTTGTGTGTGTTCTTTGGCTCTGTTCGCTCCCTCCCGATCCCCTTCCCATGCCGCGAAATCTGCCTGCCAGTTTGTCTTCATTTTCTTTCACCTGGGGCTCCGCAGACAAACATCGTGGTAATCTTCCAGCGTGGGAAGTAACTTCTGTGGGCGCTTGCCTTTTGGTAACTTCTCTTGGCTTTCGTTTGTTCTTGACATCATGCCAGCATATTAACAGCGTGACTACTTGCCCGCGTGACAACATTTGCAACACACCAACATGACACCATGCCAGCAAAAACGGCACGTCAGCACGAAATTATGTTTGCAAGTCAGCGCGCGAGAGTGACGATGTGTCAAAATGCCGACATGACAGCACGCACCATACGAGCATAGTAACTTGACCGCGTGACGACACATCAACGTGACACCATGCCAGCGTGATGACATGTCAGCATTAATATAATATGCCAAGACAATGTCAGCCCAACAGCATGTTGGCGCAACGGCAAAATTGCTGAGAAACTTGAACTTGTTCCGGAATCTGCTCTGCGACCTGTTCCGGAACCTGCTCGGGAAGTCTTTTACTGTGGCCGAAGACCCTGAGCTTCGCTGTCGTGCAATGTTTTGGTAAACACAACCAAACACCCTGAACTTATTCCGAACCCTGAACCCAAAGCCCCAAACCTTGCATTCTCCTAGATGGCTGCTTTGTCCTAGATGGTTTGGAGTCTTGTGACTTGTGAGGCTTTGTTCCAGCGCCAACTCTCAAGCAATGAGTGCGCCCAGGGATGCTGTGTGAAACTTGTAGCTGCAGAAGTGCTTCGTTTTAGTCCCAATCAGCAGGCACTAAAGTTCATCTTCATTCGTTCAGCGTTGGCCCAAGCTATCAAACAGTTTTTACAAGCCAAGCCGTTGGACCTGTGGTGTTGCCATGGAACTTCCAGCCTTTCCCACCCTCCCACCGATTGTGCGACATCCATGGGAGGCGCACTTTTTTGAGTACTGTGGAAATCTTTGGGGCGACACGCTGAATCTAACTCTTGGTGTGAAACTGCTTTGTTGCATGAGTAGTCAACCAAGACTGTTGGAGTCTTCAGGCAACATGGTGGGTGGGTGCGCTGCAACGGCTGGGCAAGGAATGTGGCGATGGGGCCGACGCATTGTCATTGGAGTAGTAATTTGTTTTCATCACAGACACATTAGTCACATTTACGTATAATGCAGCAATACGTACCAAAGGACCAAGGAGGGACCCACAAGTCAAATCACTCACAGCCAAGGGAAGTCTTCATTAAGACCGAAGATTCAAGGCATTTTGCATATCAAGGAACACATTAGTCTCGAAAGAAAACGGCCACGCCAACTTTCCAGCCACCAGAAGAGCAGGAGTTTCCATCGCCAGACTCCAGCGAAGAAGAGTGGAAGAGCTTTTTTGTTGGGCCCAGACCTGAATTGGCTTGTCCAAACAGATAAAACACATAAGGTAAGGTAAGGGCTTCTTCAATCAGGCCGCTTTGAAGAGGCCTTCCTATTCAAAGAGGGCCCTTACCTTCTTTTTCCCCAGATAGCGAAGCTATGGGGTTCTTACTTCAAATTTCAATGAGTTGCCTGTGCGCGCTTTCGAGACAGGTTGCCGGTGCTGGTGCTGGTGCTGTGAGCTGGCTGTGCACGTGGTGGAGACAGGGTGCCGGTGCTGGGTGCCAGGTCCCGGTGCTGGTGCTGTGAGCTGGCTGTGCACGTGGAGACAGGGTGCCGGTGCCGGTGCTGGGTGCTGGCAGTGTCTGCGTGACAGGCGGAAATACTAACCCACTATACTACCACTGATCTGTTGAAGGGCACTGCGGAGCTCCAGAGCAGCATGCAAAATGGAGCACGACGTGCGTGTGGTGGAGACAGGGTGCCGGTGCTGGTGCTGTGAGCTGGCTGTGCAGGTGGTGGAGGCAGGGTGCCGGTGCTGGTGCTGGGTGCTGGCTGTCCGTGTGGTGGAGACAGGGTGCCGGGTGCCGGTGCTGGCGCCGGTGCTGTGAGCTGGCTGTGCAGGTGGTGGAGACAGGGTGCCGGTGCTGGTGCTGGTGTTGTGAGTGGTGGAGACAGGGTGCCGCGTGTTGTGAGCTGGCTGTGCGCGTGGTGGAGACAAGGTACCGGTGCCGGTGCTGGGTGCTGGCTGTGTGCGCTGGGTACCGGTGCTGGGTGCTGGTGCTGGGCGCCGTGAGCTGGTGTGCCCACTTCTTTTGCCAATGACACTTAATTATAGGGGCTTTGCTGTTTGCGCGCATACTTTTGTGCGCACAAACCTATACGCGCAAGATCATACGTTGTTATTCCCCAAACAGGGATAGCTATGGGGTTCTTAATGCAAATAAGAATGAGCTGGCTGCGCGCGCTTTCGAAAGGGTGTCGGTGCTGGTGTTGTGGTCCTGGGTGCTGGTGCTGTGAGCTGGCTGAGCGCGCGTTTAAGACGGGCGACGGCGCTGGTCGGGTGCTGGTGCCGCTGCCGGTGTTGTCAGCTGGCAATGCGCACCGGTGCTGGTGTCAACTGCTTGTGCGCGCTGTGGAGGTGCCGTAAGCTGGCTGTGCAGGCTGCGTACATTCTTGTTCCTGTTAGTCGCATGTCAACAGGTCGTGGGATTCTGCCTAGCTATCTGGGTCTATGCTGGAGATAGCGACAGCTATCGGGTTCTTACTTCTTTCGAGACAGGGTGCCGGTGTTGGGTGCCCGTGCCCGGTGCGTGCTGGCGCTGGCTGTGGTGCTGGCGCTAACAGGTGCTGGATCAGGGCGCCGGGTGCTGGCACGGTGCCGGTGCTGTGAGCTGGCAGTGCGCGTGGTGGAGACTGGGTGCTGGGTGCCGGGTGCTGGTGCTGGGTGCTGGGTGCTGGGTACCGGCGCAGGTGCGGGTGCTGGGTGCGGTGAGCTGGCGCGCCGGTGCTCGGTGCTGGTGCCTGCTTCTGACAGTGAAGGGTGACAAACTGCCGCTTGTAGCTGTGAAGGGCAACCAACCGCCGCTTCTGACAATTGTGCCGGTAGTCATGGGCCGCGTGAACTTATTAAGCGCGCAACATCATACAGTGTTGTCGCTTGAACGTTCTTTGTCTATCAGCGCTGTGGGGTATTGACACTCTTCAGGTTCTGTTTTGTCCGACAGCTGCGTCAAGGGCTGTGCTGTTTGCGCGCATACTTTTGTACGTTTATAATGTTCAGTGCGCAACGTCAGGCTCTCAACCGACCATGGTTTCAGCATGTTTCAGCACGCTACACACACAGTAGTCGTGCTGGATACTGCTTGGCCTTGGGCCAATGACACTTACGGGCTTTGCTGTTTGCGCGCATACTTTTGTGCGCATAAACTTTTTTTACGTGCTGCAAGATCATGCGTTGCTATTCCTTTCGAAAAGTGTGTCGGTGCTGGTGCTGGTGTTGTGATCCTGGGTGCTGGTGCTGTGAGCTGGCTGAGCGCGCGTTTAAGACGGTCGGCGGCGCTGGTCGGGTGCTGGCGGCCTCTGCCGGTGTTGTCAGCTGGCAAAGCGCACCGGTGCTGGTGTCAGCTGGTTGCGCGCGCTGTGGAGGTGCCGTAAGCTGGCTGTGCAGGCTGCGTACATTCTTGTTCCAGCCAGTCGCATGTCAAGAGGTCGTGGGATTCTGCTTAGCTATCTGGGTCTATGCTGGTATAATTTAAAATCTTTTCTTATCTTCGTTCTGACTAAAGACTGAAAGACAAGAGAAGCAATTTGGACACACTGAGGTGCAGTGCAGCACCGGCAGCAATCCTTGCAATAGGCTCGACGTGTGAAGATTGGCGATTGGCCTCAGAGTAGACCAGTCGTCATTGAGTCCACAACATACGATGTGACGCCAGTAGTAAATAGCTACTACTAGTTTCTACCTACTAGTAGCGATGCCCTTGTTACTAGTAACGATGCCCTTGCTACTAGTAGCGATGCCCTTATTACTAGTAGCTTCTAGCTACTAGTACTACTTCCTGTTCAGGATTCGTCCTGACCCTCTTAGTGCTTTGCTGCGGCTGCTGCCGAAGAGAGACAAACCACAGACGACGAGCACCTTCATGCGTACCGAGCTTTTGCTTTGGCCTTCTTTCAGTGGCCACCACCTTGGCTTGCCAGAAGCACCATGCATAACGGACTATCTCCCGCGGCTGATTCTTGAGCTGCCTTTTTTGCTTTGACAAGGTCATGGTCCTAGCCGGAGCCTTTATCTACTGGGAAACTGGCTCGAAGGCAAAGCATGGAACCATGAACTGCAATTCTCTTGCATGTTTTTTGCTCTTGAGGGTTTGAATCTATTCAACGAATGTGCAAGCTTCGAGCCATGGAAACATGTGCGAGCAAACTTGGAAGGTAACTAAAGGCAGGGGCAAACAATATAACTATAGCAGGTAATCTCTGGCAGAGCTGCGGGGTGTGATGTTGTTTCTTGTCGCGAATGTATGGCTGGTGCATGGATGTGCATGGTGATGTGTGATGCGGAGAAATTTAGTGTGATGATTCGTGGTGTGGTAAAGTCTCGATGTCTGATGTGAAGTGTCATTAGGTTGGAGGGGTGGCAATGGATCGCGAAGCTGCTGCCTGTATTAGCCATTGTGGGACTAACGTCTTTGGAAGGATGGGCGATGCGATGCGATGCGATGCGATGCGTATGCATCGGTTTTCAGTTATTGCAACGTTTCAGCGCCGAGGTATTCTGCGTCCACAGTTGAAGGTTCAAAAGGCTTGATGCCTCAGAATGAAGCCAAAGCCCGTTCAGGCCACCACAGCCAAATTGCCATTCAAGGGAACTCCTCACGCACGACGGCATAGACGCGAGCCATATGAGGTGCTGCCGTTGTGAGCTGGCCAAGCAAACCGCAGTGGAAGCTCATCATCCGGTGGGTCTGGCCGACAGCCGATCCTTTAACAAGAGAGGTGCAGGACACTGCCACATCAGATGCTTCATACAGAGTGGACGTTGGCCTTGCAGTAAGGGCATGCTGGGCACACTTGTCGAACTTCATGCTCTCTCATCTTGTTGTTGATCATCATGTTGTTGCGTCACTCTCTTGTACCATCATGGGTCCACACGCAGTGGTAAACAAGAATGTTCCACATGCAATGGCACTCAAAAAGCATAACATTTTTTTGAACATTGGCTGTCGTCAGCCAGCCTGTCCACAATGTGCACTGCGCTCGTGTCAAAATACAGAAACACACACAAACACACACCCACGTGCACACAACAAACCAGCTATATACTGTACCAACAAAGGACATGTTTTCAACACAGCCCCACACAGCCCATTGCCCATTGCCTCATGAGCTAGGAAACTGGTATCGCGGCCAATAGTTCGACACGAAACGCGTGACGTACGAGCAAGTTGAAGAGCCATGCATTGCAAATTGGAAATGCCATGTCGGGCCGGGCTGGGAATAGGTTAGAAAAGCAAGGCGCTGGGCAACTGCTCAGATCACGCCAAGGGAGACAACCCTTGACCTATAAAGTGTCATGCGAAGATCACAGGAAAAGCTTTCAGCCGCTTGGCCCCAAAGACAGCTTTAAGACTTTGCAGTCTCTGGGCAGGGATGGACAGCCTTGCCCAAACACACCTCATTTCCCAAAAGTTGAGTTTTTTCCACGCAGTGCCTACTCCTCAAGCCTCTAAGCCTCTAAACCGCCATGGCGCTCGCCAGGTTGACGGACGTAAGCCGAGGACACGAGGCGATGCACCTGGCGTATTGGCCGAGCTTACGGACACCGACCTAAAGAGGACCAATGCAACTAGGAGCAAGGACGCTACTAGGGGCTCCTGGCATCGCTACTAGTAACAAAGACGCTCCTAGTAGCGTTCTTGCTCCTAGTAGCGATGCCCTTTGTTCCTAGAACCAAATCTCACTTCCACCCCAACCATCGCGTCCAGCTGCGGATCCAGAAGCACTCACGGCCGCTTTGTGAATGTCCGCTGCCAGGGAGGCATGCCGTTTGCAGACCGTCGGTGCATTGTGTGAAAGACAACATTGCGAAGTGGTCCTGTGAGTGGTTCTAAATTTTTCTGCCAAAAAGCAAAGGTAGCCTTGGTGTCACCAGTTGAGCAGTTGGGGGGCCTGCAAGGATGCTGCCATCGCGTAACAGTCCCTTCTCCGCGACATTTTGTCGTGCCGCGCCGCCATATCACACCGGCCCTTCTTGCCGGCGCATTATTGTGCAAGAAACAGCTGTCTCGAGAGCAGCAATGACTGCCACACTTTGTGGTCCGTTTTCGATTGAACATGCTCGCGTTGCAACTCATGAAGTCTACCTAGAACACCAGCTGGGAAAGTAGCCACCTGGCGCATGACCTGATGGCGGAAGGGACTGTGCATTCGCGGTCAGCAACACACACTGTAATCTGTCCAGCTGCGGAATGAACATGCTCCCAATCGTAATCATAATCCGGATCGTCAGTAGCCGTGGGACATATGCAGACCACACTTGGCCTGGAGACACAGGAGAATGCAATCAAAACATTATGCGGCCAGAATACTTGCAGTATCTTGCAGGTACTATACTACAATACTGGGGAGAAACGACCATCTCCCTGCAAAATTTAACACTCGAGACACTGCCTTCCAGCAAAGCGGCAGGCACAAGTCCTGTCTCATTGGCCGCAGTGAGGCTTTCACCTTGAAAAAAAACGTCAAGAACATTCAAGAACATTATCACCAGGCACTTCGTTTCAATCGCCAACCCTAAGTGAGGGTATCACCTACTTTGCACGTCTTCAGTCACCTGAGCAACATGAACATGTTCGAAAACTCACAGACGGAGCTGATAGACACGACGACAAAGCAAGGACGAGTGCAAACCCCTCGTCACAGTTGAGCGATGTTGAGCGCTCCGCAAGCCTCCACGAATGCTTTGACTCAAAGCAACAAACATGCCGCCACGGGGTGAAAGGAGCAACGATTACTGTATTATATATGAACCGTTTCTGCAAGTCAAAAGTTATCAACTAAGCTTCCCTGCCCATTGTTACTTCTAGCGTGAAACTGATACGGCAGACCACTCGACTCAGTTTGGAACAGGCGCTGAATACTGCGCAGTCAGAGCTTCAGAATGCCTACGACAATGTGACGCAGGCAGTGTCTGAAGGCTCCAAAATGAAGGCGGGTTACAGGGCTTAGCCATTCATGGGCTCATCAATCATGTGATGGTTTCCTTCCGCTCATCAGATAGATGTGAACTAATAAAACATGCACACAGTTACCGAGCTGTGAAGCCTGAGGTGTCAAATACCCTACCCCTTGGGTCCCTGAAAACATTTGTAAACTATTGCTCAGGCGGATAGTCGTTCCGGAACTTTTCAAAAAGAACATCAAAAGGCCCTAAGGCTTGGGCTACACCGCACCCTACAGGTAGGAAGCACACACTCTCTCTCTCTCTCACCAAACATTTTCCAAGAGGCTCCCTGTGCTGGCCCAGTTTGCAAGAAGTGGTCGTCACAGAGCGCCATCTCTATTAGTCCAGCTCTGAACAGTCCAAGATGGGCTCTAAGTTACAGTTACATGATGACAACTCGTGCAGTTTTCAGGTAAAGACAAGAAATCAGCAAGAGCTCTAGCCAGTCAAAGTCAAGTCATAGATGATGGTTAGCCCTTTCCGGACGATTGGTGTGAGGAGACTTTTTAAAGGACTCCATCCTTTCAAACCCTACAGCCCACAGGATGTAGGAGCTTCGATGCTGAAGAATCTGGATGGCATTCCGCTTACTTGCCCTTTTGGCATTCAGCAACAAGCCGTTGACTCAGTGTCTGCAGAAACTTGTGCAAGACTCTTGTCTTCTTTGCTTCTATGGAGAGAGGATTCCAAAAGTTTTGAGGTTAAGCAAGAGGTGAAAAAGATCGCCAACCAGGCATCAGAGCTTGTGATCATGCTCCTTCTACCCTTTGGATGGTGAAGGTTTACTTTGTTTCATGCGCGGGCTGGTGTGGGTCTATAAGGATTTTCCTCCAGGAGTCTGAGCCTGCGACGCACTCCACAGAAAGGGGATATCGTTATGTTGACACATACTGACTTAATTAGAAGTGCTTTGGAAAAGAGCATTCCACTTCCAATGTCTTTCAATAGGTAATATCGGCAGAGGTCGGCGGATTATAACTGTATACTGTATGCTGTAATCTATCTTTCAGACCAAATATCTCTTCACGATGTGCAGTATGAATCTGAATGCGCTTAACTGACATGGCCTGTATTCGCAATAAATAGCTGATTTGAGGTGAAGACCTTCAATGAGGCCGTTGACGAGTTTGACAATCTAATGCAGCCCTTGCCATCCAAAGTCAAGGATGTGCAGGTGCAGACGGGTCTGGGAGACCTTTTTGGATTAGCGAAGGCCAATTTCGTCACTTATTTACGTATATGATTACTGCTGTACAGAGGTATGCACGTTGTGAACCATGTGTAGTCTTTCGGCTCAGTGAGTGCTATCCCCCCATCCAGGTGCCCAGAGACCTCGTGTGGGTTCTGGCCAAACTGGGTGGGGGGTAAAGAGTGAGGACTCAGGACATTGAAAGTCCTCGTCTAAAGAGTGTGATCTCTGGCAGATACACTCTTGGTGGGCCGGTGACTGACCCCGGCTTCGGCTCTTTGAAGAGCTACGTGGATAAGTGCCGTGAGTGCACTAGATGCCCTACTGGAGACGCTGGAGATGGGCGGTCAGCTCGGTATTGACCCTGCTTGCACTGACGAGATTCATCATTCAGGTCGAGGTGGAGAGTCTAGCACTGAGTTGGCCCAAAGGCTTTTGACAAGGTGCCGAGTTTCCGGTGGAGAAAGTAGTGTGGGCCGCTTGATCCAAGTTGGAGCTTGGCGTCTTCCACTGCCCTGGTTATGAAGCCCTAGGCCTTGGCAAACATTGGAGGCCCTTGGCAGTCAGCTGGGGGCACGTTCTCTTGCAGAGGGCCGCTCAGAAGAACAAAGGGGAAGCTTCCAGAGACAAGGGTGCGTTTCGGAGAAGGATTTGAAGCTATCAGTAAGGAGCTGGCTGATTTCTTCCGTGACGCCAACCGCGGGGCGTTTCGCCAGTCCAGGTTATTCGCCACCTGGTAGTTCAGACTTTCAAGTCGGACTGTGCTTTTGCAAGGATGTTGAGGTGGTCACTACAGCCCCCACGGGGAGGAGGAGACCCGGCGATGGACCTCTTTCCTGTCCCATGTTGGTTTTCTTCAATTGCACCTGTGGAACATCTGGAGATGTAGCCAGACAGCTCCGCTTTGCCTGACCTTACTCAGTGTTCATTGCTGGAGGACGGGTGAGTGATACAGTGCTTGGTCAGTTGGAGGTGGCAGTGAGAACCAAGCAGCAAAGAGAAACAGAAGGGGGTTCTCGCGGTCGGGAGTTCCACCTGACATTGAGGAGGCTAGATTGTTCACGCGGGAGCAAGACAAGGTTAATGCGGTCTTCAACGAGAAGAAGTCAATATTTAGCGCCCCCACGCAAAAGTGTCTTGATATTTTTGGTTTAGGCTTGGCCCGCTGCTGGTTGAGGACTTGCAGGTCTGGGCTGGAAAGGTTGTTCATGTTCTGCAGTACCGACGATGTATGTTGGTTTTCCTGGAGGAGACGTTTGCAACGATCTGCCAGTCAACCGAAGGTTACGACGTGTCGCTGGTTTTCCTGGAGGTGACGTGGTTCGCGGCGCGGCTGCCGCGGGCAGATCGACAGGCCGCCGAGGCGATCCTCCAAGGCGCATCCTTTGTGAAGAAGGAGGAGGTGTCGGCAATGAAGGATCTTGCTCTGGTCATCGGTTACTGTCTTCATGGAAAAGAATGAGGCCTGCTTGCAAGTTGAAACAGCGTTACCCTGGCATGAAGTTACAGTTCCATGGTGACGCCAAGACGTTCAAGGACGAAGAACTGAAGGAGGCTCTGAACGCTGCCCAGAGGTGAAAGGCATCATTGTAGCTAGTGCCTGTGCCTGCGAAGGGCTGGCGGCTGGAGACTTTCTCTACTCAATTGAGCAGGACGATTCTAAGAGCCCTGGGCATCTGTGAGACGGTAGAAAAGAACGCGGGCCGGCTCACAGGAGAAGCGCTCCATGAATTTGATAGCAGCCAAGCGCTGAAATCGGGGCACTTGTGAGGGGGTGATTGGGGGGTTGGGTGCGAACCTTCCTGCCTGTCTCCTTAAAGGAGTTCAGACCCTCGATTTTGTGTAAGGTTGCGAAATGAAAGTTTTTCCGCGCTCTGAAGTACAGCGTGCGGCGCAAGTGTTGCCGCCTATGTTGAGCTGGGCCATATTCCCATGGTTGCGGTGTGAGTGAGAATCACACTTTCTGTGCGCGCGTCCCTAACTCTCCCACTGGCCCCGGCGCCGGTTTCGGCTAGACGCCTTTTTGAAGGGTGGAGTCTTCTTTTAAGAGGGAGAGGGGTCTCGTCCTCTCCTAGAAGGAATTGGGGTTGGTTCTCTGGTGAGTTAGTTGGATGTGAAGCTCCAAACATTTTGTCACAGCTGGCGTTGCCTCCTTTCAAGTTTTGAACGTAAATCGTGTAGGACTCTCGGAGTCTACCATTTTCAACCGTGGAGTCTTTGGAAAGGCTCTGGCTGTGAAGTGGAAGTTATTTTTCAAATCTTATTAGGTTAGAGCTTTCACCAATGGCAGCATACTGCTGCAGTGAATCGGGGGAGGGTCGAGTATGAGCCTTCCTCGCCTGACTCCTTTAAAGGAGAATAGGCTGTCACTTCACGTCTATAAGTGGTTGGCGGTCCATTGGCTTCCCCCTCAATGCGTAGGCTATTATTTGTGGTTGCTTGAAGTAGAGATCCGTGAGTCTACTTTATTTAGGTGGTTCCTTGTATTTGCCGTCGGTTTGGTGATCGTCATCGGCCAAAATGAACCATCGATGCTCACACCGTGTCCATGTGTGTTCTGGCTGTCGATGATCTAAAGTCGGGCTCTTTGTTGAGTCTACTTTCATTATTGCATTTTTGGATTTTGCAAGAAGGAGAAGAATAAGCAGGTCGGCTCACGGGAGGAGCGTTACATGAATTTGATAGCAGCCAAACGCTGAAAGCAATCCCTGACAGAGTGACTGGGTTGGGTGCGAACCTTCAGCCTGGCGCTCTGAAATACAGCGTGCGGTGCAAGTGTTGCCGCCTGTGTTGAGCTGGGCCATATTCTTTTCGCTGCGGTGTTAGTGAGAATCACAAACACCTTTTCGATATTGCTAGTTCGCGCACGTCCCAAACTCTCCTACTTGCCTCGGCACCGGTTTCGGCTAGACACCCTCAGCCTCTTGTTCTCCATTTGAAAGGTGGAGCCTTCTTTTAAGTGGGAGGGGGGTCTCGTCCTCTCCTTTGAGGGCGCGCAGGCCAACCTGAGGTGGGGTTAAGGTGGGTCCAGTAGGAATCCACCTGTTCAGCGCCAAGTGCGACTGCTGGGCCCTGTGGTGATCCTCGGCGTCTACATGGTTCTGGGCGCACAGGCCTCTCTGTGGCGCCTAGAAGGAATTGGGATTGGTTCTCTGGTGGGTTAGTTGGATGTGAAACTCCAAGGCTCCTTTCAAGTTTTGAAGGCAAGGTTTCCTCGCTTTAAGGTGTAGAATCGTGTAGGACTCTCGGAGTCTACCATTTGCAACCATGAAGTCTTTGAAAAGCCCCGGTTGTGAGGTGGACGTTAATTTTTAGTTAGATTAAATCTAATCAGAGCTTTCACCAATGGCAGCCTACGGCAGTGAATCGGGGGAGGGTCGGGTACGAACCTTCATCGCCTGACTCCTTTTAACGAGAACAGGCCTTCACTTCACATCTACGTGGGTGGCAGTGCATTGGCTTCCCTCAATGCGTAGCCTATTTGTGGTTGCTTGAAGTAGAGCTACATGAGTCTATTTTCTTTAGATGGTTCCTTGTATTTGTCGTCGATTTGGTGATCCTCACTGGCCATAATGAATCGTCGCTGCTCACACCGTGTCCATGCGTGTTCCAGCTGTCCATGTTGCTGGGTGAAAGGTCTTTATCTAAAGTAGAGCTCTTTGAGTCTACTTTCGCTTTTGCGCTTATGGATCAGTTGTCCCTGCGCATTCGTTCCCAATAGTAGGGCTCCTTTGAGTCTACTGTTTCTTCTTCCCTTTGTTCGTGGTACATGGATGCATTCAAGCCGACTCTACTTCTCCTCCCTGCCTGGCCACGGAGCATCCTGCTATGGTAGGCGGCGGGCTTGAATGCCTTTAATTTTCAGAGGGCTCGGGCTGTAGGGATAAATACAGGCCGCCTTACGAAGCGAGGGGTCGCACAAGTGCATTAAAAAACATATATATACACATATATTATATAGTTACACATATTTTCTTTCCTATAGTATGCTCTTTCTCTGACATAGCAGGATCATGCCAGCGGTATCGGTCAGCTAACAGCTGCTGGGCTGATGGCACCATTGGCCTTGGTTTTGCTTAGCTGCCTCACAGTCAGGGGCGCCCAGTAGCCTTGTGCGCTTGTGGGCTGTGTGTGTGTGAGATAGAAGTCTTCGCGTGAAGTATACTCTTCTAAGTCCGCATGTATTTGAGCTGCAATAGTTTTGCTTAGAAGAGTTCAATCAAAAATTGGAGCATTAGACCTGCCACAATGTGATGACCTCAGCCTGAGGTCATTGCAGCTGCTTGAGTCTCAGTACTGTTCCTTCCTTCGTGGCAAACAGGACACCGTTGCAAATGCTTCAAGCGAAATGGTAACCCCTTTTTGCGACGTGGGGAATTCTGGGTGCCAATCTTTGCCGTGACATTTTTCCGCACCTTGCCAGGTCTCGTGCTCCTGCACAGGCTGGTTCCATGTTTTGCTCTACCAATTCTCCTGTTCGCCCTTCGAAAAGATCCTGTGATGAGAAGACGCGCTGTGCAACGTAATGATTCGATGTAGTGTAATGTACTGCAACGCAATGTAATGCAATGAGTGTAAGTTCAAGAAGCATAGCTGCTGGGTTTGCTTAGCTTTTTTGTCAGGCAGGTTATTCTCACCACTGTTCGAAAGATTCTCCTTGCGATGTTGTGATGGCAGGTAGATGTGCTGGCTGCTGCTTGCGAATCTCAGCTTGCATGGTTCACTTGTGTGACGAGTCTCAGAAATAGTAGATACATGAAATTGGACCGCGCCTATTCATGAAAGCTAGCTTCCGCTAGCTGGAGTCGCTCCTTGCTAAAGCGAAATGAGAGGGTGGATGGCAGCCTCAAAGACTTCCAATCATTGATCCATCAATGTTATGGACCTCCCCTCCGCGGGTTCAACTCCCCCCTGCGGACGGGTGCGATGCTGAGTGTGACAGGGTCCGATGCTTTCTTGGAGATTCTTGGAGATTCCCATAAGCTTCTCATCTCATCAAGCTGCCTCATGAACACTTTCCCATAGTGCGCCATCACCATGCCCCTCATCATTCTGCTTCTTATTTGCTTGCGCCCAACGTGTGCGCAAGTCTTTGCCGGAGATAGTGCACTCTTTGCTCGGCTACTGTGAGGCGTAGTGCAGTCATACTTATCAATGTTATGGATGGACCCCCCTTCCGCGGGCTCAACTCCCCGCTGCAGACGGGTGAGATGTTGGCTGAGTGTGACAGGGTCTCATCAAGCTGCCTCATGAACACTTTCCCAGAGTGCCATGCCCATGCCCTAATGCCACTCATCATCAGCAATGCCAACATTGCAATCTGAGTTGATGCTTCTGCTTCTGATTTGCTTGTGCTCGACGTGCGCGCAAGTCCTTGCCGGAGATGGTGCACTTTTTGCTCAGCTACTGTGAGGCGTAGTGCAGTCATACTTTTCGTGCCTTTGATGACGCTGAAGTGTGTTGCCTTGAGCCTTCCTGCTCTGTAGCGTGTGTGACAAACGCTTGGAATTGTACGTGTGGGGGTGCTCCGTCTCATTGCATTGTATCCTACTCTCCTTGCTTAAGCGACTACACTTCTGGTTAGCTCACTCCACGACCCCATGCAAGAAAACTCTCCGCATAGATACCCTTGCGCGCGTACGGCGTCACACGCCTCAACGTCCTCCGTGCACTTGCAACCACGTTCAACAAATCAACTGAAGGATTTCTTCGTTGAATGTTTCCGAACAGGCCTGGCCATACCATGAGGCCACATTGCATGGCAGTATCGATGTTGGTCTTGATCTCACTCATCACTTTAAATTTGTTCTCCCCTCATCATTTGTGGCAAAGAGCTCATGCCTCTCAACCGCGCGTCAAGAAATATATCAGTGGATACCAACCCAAGCCCCTTGTATGGAGGCTACCGCCCTGCTCAGCATCGGGCTGCTCCATTCACCCCGCCGCGCGGCCCGCTTAATTCACCTAGAGAAGTACAGACTTACTTATACGCAACCTTTCAGACAACAGATCACTGCCTTCCACAACAGACGCACTATAGCAGAGTCCAGTTCTTGACTAAGAAAGGCTTTGTTGGAGAACTTGCCAGACTGCCACAGAGACCTCCTTTGGCTAAGCATGAAGCTGCGTCAGAAGATTCTCTTTGTTCATAGTCACAAGCTGCCCATTCCCTACGAACTGAGTTCGGAACATGTGGACGAAGCTGCGTCAATTGCCGAAGTCGATGCAGAAGACGTGGCGCGCTAAGGTTTTTGAGGTTTAAGTTTGTAGGGAGCCAAGAGGCTTTGATGATTCAGCCTCCGAATAGAAGTTTACGCGGCGCATGGTTTTGTTGACTCTCTGCCTGTGGGCCTCCGCGCTCAAACCCATGCAAGTTTTCATTGTTTGCGGCAACGCTGGCCTCACAAAGACACGGCGGCGCTTTTGAGAGAGTTGTAATCTACAGTCTTAAATCCATGAGAACCAAGCACATATCACCGACAAAATGAGACAAACTGGATGAGAAACCATCTGGATCCATCATGGCCCAAAAAGTACAATTGGATTTTGCTGCATGCTGTCATGCTACCGTTGTCGGCGGCGATGTAAGCTCCATGTCAGCTTGCGTGCCCAAAGCGTCTAGGCTTTTTAGCCAGCGCCCCCTGGTAGGGGTGGGTCCTTCAAACCCTTGCCAGCTAGCTTGAACCCCATGAACCAGCCGTGAGCATTGTGCCATTGAAAAGCAACGCTTCACGAAGCTACTACTTTGGAATTTGCTGCGTGCTGTCAACCTACTGTTTTCGGCGGCGATGCAAGGTCCATGTCAGCTTACGCGCCCAAAGGATCCCGGCTCTTCAGCCAGATCCCCGAACGGCAGCGCTTCAGCCCAAACATTCATGTGTAGTGAATGTGCGTTCACGCCCGCCATCTTTCCTTTCAAGACCTCTCCTCTATCGGGCAGATGGCGCTGCGCTGCTGAGCTGCTCCAGCGCCCCTTGCGCTTGACGAGCTTGATCTGCTCGCTCCACCAATCCTCAAGCTGCTAAAACAGTTCTCCGGCAAGCCTTCGGCCTTTTGCCTTCTTCAACATTGCCTGGTCATGAGCCTCACCAACAACATAGCTGACCACAGTGCGTGTACAAAGGGATTGACTGGCATGTTTTGATGTTGTTGCTTCCTTCATCTCCATACTTTCGCGTTTGTTCGCATTGGACATCATGAGGTCAAAGGAACGTCACTACATTGCACACTTCCGGACGCCCAGTTTTAGACAGGCTCTTCGATGGGCAGCTCGTTTGCTCGAGCAGGTCTGTTGAGGCGCTCGATTGCCTGCCGTGTAACATGCGCCCCAACGCCGTGGACGGCTTGAAGTACGGCAGTTTGCTTTTGCGATCAACGAATTACGACTGGAAACAGCTTTCGTTCATGCTTGTTGTAGTTTTGCTGGGTAGGCTTGAGACGCAATTACCCTGGAGCTTGCCATGGACTGAGATGATACTTTCTGAAAATGTGAACATGATGAATCACAGAAATATTAGATGAGAAAACGCATTCTTGAATAATATAAAAAAGATAAAAATCGGAAGTATGAAAACGTATGAACAAAACATGAACATATGATTCTTTAAACTTGTCCATCACATTATTTTCATAAGAAAAGCAGAGCAACCATATTTTTCTGTACTTTCAATTTTGTCGTACTTTTCACTAACAGGTTCCTATGTTGAAGGGGTACAAACATCTCAAAGGTAAGCGTGTTTTCCTTTGTTCTTCTCTTGCGCCCGCATAGTGCGGTTGGCGATTCGAGATCTCGGTCGGAGATGGTGCGATCGTCAATGAATGATAGTTTGATTTGTACAGGCAACTTGTGTATCCCTGTTGTCTGTTGGCATACTTGGGAGCTTGCTTGGATTTTTAAATTGGTGTGCTGGCAGTGGTCCTGCCACGCCTCCTGTGTGGTTGAGGATCCTTGAGCCGTCCAAAAACTCAGAAGTGCTCCAAGGGTGTTGGAACCTGATATATACCAATGCCTCTTGATCCAACAGTTTCTTGCAAAGTTGGCCTTTTAGGGTTTCCCCGGTTGGAAAACTCAAATTCAGACGCCAGTACCCGAACAAACACTTTGAAACACCTTGGTTTGAAGTTGGTTGGGAAGTTTCAATTCACCATTTGGAAATTTGGAACTTTTTCACTTCATGAGCAACAACGCCCTACGTGTTGCTTGTCGCCCCGGCCTCTCTCTCTCTCTCTCCCTCTCTCTCTCTTTGTGGCTATGCAAAAAACCATCGCCGCCTCAAAATGCAACCGCAAACTCAGGCATATCTGCCACCCGAAAGCACCACTCGACGACAAGAAGTCACAACCACCGTCCAGGCAAACCGAGGTGACCCACATTCCATGGTACACAAACTGCGACCATTACGGTAAAGAATTCAAAAGGACAGTGACAAGATAGCTGCGAACCCAAAGCAAATAGAACACCACTACATAGAATTTCAGGAAGAAGATACCGACGATTGCAGTGCTGTGGAAAATGAAGCGCAAACCCTTCCGCTGTGATTGTTTTAGTGCAGTTCACATTTTGAATGCCCTCTTTCGGCGCAAAAACTGGGTTAGCATTTGAGCGCAGGTTTCAAAACAGATTACAACCTGGGAACACGGGGGGTTCCAACTACTTCCAAATTTATCATGAGGAAGTCTTGGCCCTTTGCTGATGGCTCCTACAGTGCTGGTCATCACTGTGGCAGCGGCAGTGCAGTTGGAACTTGGAATTGTCACAAGCAGCTTTTGCCTGGCGCCTAGCGAGCTCAGGTTTGACATTCATCAAAGCGGACCATGCAGCTTGAACATTGCTACGCAAACATCGAATTCATTTTTTCAACTAATGCCTTGGTCTACAGACAGTGCAGTCTAACCAGCGCTTTTTTCCATGTTCAGTTTTGCGCAGGCTTGCTCGATGTGTTTCATCAGCTTGTTTGCCAAAGGCGAAAATGTGGATAACAACACTTTGGCATTCATCGGCCACCACTTCAAGTACGACTCTGAAGAATATCAACTGTCCAAGTACTACATCACAGGCCTGGCAGCAAGGGATTTAAACAAAGTTGCGGAGTTCTGGGAAACTTTGGCGGAGTCAGCAGTGGGACCCGCCTGTGGGAGAACATCACTTCTGCTTCTGCTGCAGTTTGACGCAACACACATGTAAAGAACTGTATGCAGTCTCTATACTTGTCGTGCGCATCAAATCGGATTGTATGACATATTGCATATAACATCGCCTCTCCTAGTTTGCAATGCGTGTTTGTTTCTCGCTTTGATATATACTTGGAAAGATATTGAAAGGCAGATATCTGGTGCGCGTCGCTGAGATCCTAAACCAGCAAAGGTTTTCTGTCTTTTGTATAAGGCGAGGGCCGGAACCCTCTTTTGGTGGATTTGCAGAATGCCTCTGAGCAGTTGGACGACGCCAACCAGACGATTTCGGCTTACGGACATGAGGCCAAAGCAGCGAGTTTCCATCTCGGCTGATTGAAGCGCTTGCTTGCAGAACTAGGAATGTTGCCATTTGAATCCTTTTCTTCAGGTTGAAAAGCTTTGTTCATGGAGGGGCTTGGAAGAGCTTCAGGCAGGAGCTGCAGAAGCAAAGAGTTCTTTGACCTTTGGAGACTTGGACGCAAGCTTGCTAGGACATTTGGGGATGCTGTTGGTTTTGGGGCATTTCTGCTGCGCCAGAGAATTTGGTCACACCAATATGCTTGGGGATCACGGGGTTATGATGAGGTATGAGTTTTGCTCAATCTTCATACACCCCCCCGTCCTCCCCACCTACCTACCTACCTACCTACCTACCTACCTACCTACCTACAGCTACCTACCTACCTATAGCTAGCTACCTACCTACCTACCTACCTACCTACCTACCTAACCTACCTAACCTACCTAACCTACCTAACCTACCTAACCTACTAACCTACTAACCTACCTACCTACCTACCTACCTACCTACCTACCTACCTACCTA